GTGATTACTTCTGGCTGACTTCTAATTCACATCCTGCAACTGGCAGATTCCAATGGATTTGCTGTCTGTCCTCCTAATCTGAGTCCCTGCCTGAGAGAATACTGAGCTGCTGTCCTGCAGTGTAGCTGTAGCCACTGGTGCTGTGACAGTGCTCTTCTGGAGGGTGACTCCTGGCTGTTGGAGCATCCCAAAATTTGAGGAAGAACTGTTGCAGGGTGTTTGTCTCAAGCCCAGGGCTGGCTGTGTGGCATCCAGGGATCCACAGGCTCACACAGGATCTACAGGATCCACAGCCCAGGGATGGTTATGCTTGTCTCAAGCCCAGGGATGGCAGGCAGGGTGGTTATTTCAGATCTAATAGGATGGACAGACTTTCCTGTCAGTTCAGGGCTGCTTGAATGTCATTCCTGCAGAATTTACTTAACAGACTTAAACTAAGGCAGGTTTCTTGTTGAGTTCTCTGTGAGAGCATTGCACAGAGTCCTCAGGGTTCCTTTGTAGCTGTAAAAACACCAAGCTTCACTTGTGGAGTACAAGCTGTAGCATTTCCCAAAAGTGACTGCTTGGTGAAGTCTCTGTTCGTCAGCTGGTCCAGATCTTTACAGAAAATACTCTGTTGGAGGAGGAAGTGTGGCCTTTCTATGTCTTGCCTTGTGTCCCAGGGTGACCAGGTGGCTTGTCTGTGCATTGCCAAGTGTTTGTTCTTTTTCACCACCTGAAGAAAAGCTTGTAGAATCACAGAGTGCTTTGGGTTGGAAGGGACCTTAAAGATCATCTTGGTCCTCCCCCTGCCATGGGCAGAGACACCTTCCACTAGCCCAGGTTGCTCCAAACCCTGTCCAACCTGGCCTTGGACACTTCCAGGGATGGGGCAGCCACAGCTTCTCTGGGCAACCTGTACCAGGGCCTCCCCACCCTCCCAGCAAGAATTCCTTCCATATGTCCAACCTGAACTCCCCTCTTTCAGTTTGCACCTATTACTGCCTGTCCTATCACTACAATTCATAGAATCATAGAATCATAGAATAGATTGGGTTGGAAAAGACCTCCAAGATCATCAAGTCCAACCTCTGATCCAACTCCAATTACTATATCATGGCACTAAGGGCCACATCCAGTCTCTTTTTAAAAACCTCCAGGGATGGTGAATCCACCACCAAATTCAGGGCAGAGTCCCTCTCCAGCTTCCTTGTGGACCCTTTCAGACTCTGGAAGGCTGCTGGTTCTTTACTGTGCTGCTCCAGTCACCGAGGCTTTTCCTCCACATCTGAACAGAGTTTGGCCCTTTCCCATCCCGTGGCATTTTTTCCTGCAGCTCCAACCCCAGGACAGGGTGGTTTTTTCTTAGGCACAGCGAGGACATAAACCAAGGAGACAGAATCAGCCCTTCTGTGCTTTCACATATTCCGTGCAGGGTTTCCCCTGGGAGCGAGGGGCTGCAGCTTAGGTGGGCTTGTTTGTGTTCTGTCCCTCACTTAAACTCTTGCACTCGCTGAAGGCTCCGCTGCAGGGGGGGGATGTGAGGCCCTGAATGCTCTCTGGGCAATTAGGGCTCTAAAGCATTATTTATTACTATTATTTTTTTTTTCAAAGTGGGTCAGGCCGTTTTGGCATCTCAGGCGCCGGTTCCTGGTTCAATTGCGAGGCCTCGGTCGCCATGGCAACTGCAGAAAGCGTTCGTCATGGCTGTGCCTTGGGCTGGATTCAAACTCCAGGGAATGAGCAGGAGCAGCGGAGTTTGGAGGGGCTCGGGGCAGGGGAGGGGGATGGAGCTGCAGCTTCGGTGCTTTCTGTGCCCATCCTCGCTGCCCTAGAGATGAAAGGTTGAATTAACAGACTCTTGGTGTGTGGAGCCCCTCACGGGAGAAATATTCAGCTTTTCCCAGTCATCCAGAGGAGGAATCAGACCCTCCTGTGTTTGGTTGGCTCTGCCACTGACCTCAGGGAGAGCCAGAGAAGGTGCCCTTGAAGTTATTTCCCCTCCTATCCCTGCAAAGGTGATAATCCATACATCCCAAACACAACCTGTGTGGATGGATTTAGTGTTTCAAAGCATGCCAGAGATGCTAAATGACTGGAAAACGAGCTTGGAAGCTGGAATCTGCCTGAGATTGTGCTTGGCAGGGCTGGCACCAAAATGTGTGGCTATGACAATATGAACAAATATATACATGGCAGCTTTAAGGTAGTTAGTGTTGATTCTGCCCCTGTGTGGGTTACTCAGCTGTGACTGAAACAGCCACCTGAGGAGCTTTGTAAGACCATAAAAAGAGTAAAACTAGAACTTTCTAGGGCATTTCATCTGAGTTTCACATGCACGTGATGCAGCTGAACCCTGGTTTTGAGTGATTTGCACTTTGAGTAGCATTAAAAATCTCACAACTGTGACCTGAAAGCAAATAGACCCTTGAGTGAATTTGACTTGGTCTTTATAGGGTTGCATAAAGCTCACACCCAAAGTGAAACTGGGGGTATGAACTCGCAGGAACCGAAAGTGAGAGGGAGGTTGTGCATGATAAGCTCAGGTTTTGTAGAGCTGTAGAAGCAAAATTAGTACATCTGTTCAGATTAGTCCAGTGATGTGTGAGTCAGGAACGCTGGCTTCAAATTCTGGCTTTGTATTTTTGGGGACCTCTCACATAAAGCAGCTTGTGTTGCATTGAGGCTGCTGGGGGCAAGCAGGACCAGTACAGCCTCAGAATGTAGAGTTTTTGACTAGAACTCTACATTATGTAGAGTCTAGAAATGGCAATTCAGAACCATTTCCATCACTGGAACCATTGCTGATGAACCTGAAGTTTTAGTACCACCAATGTAGCTCTGGTGGGCTGTTAAAAAGTGGGTTTAGACAGGAGAAAGAGCACCAGCAGGACAGACAAGGTGAAACACTCACTTTAACTGGATCGGCTGCAAGTCTGTGAAGAAACCTGATACTTTATAAAATTTCAATAACTAAGAAATTCCTGGTAGTTTGACTTTATGATATACCCAAACTGTTGCAGGCAGTGCTGCTGGGAGAATGGTCCAGATCATCTTTTCTTTAGTCTTTTGGTTTCAAAGCTGATTTGGAGGGCTTAAATCTTGAATATTGCCACAGTTGTGCTGTACATGTGTTCCTGTTTCTTGTTCAGGGAAAGGGAGGGCACAGGACAAGATGCTGTGACTATATATGACACTCATGAGATGTGCCATTGCTAATTGTGAGCTGTGAAGAACCAAGGTAAGGGTGGGATTACTCTGCCTGTGTTTGCATTTGAACAATCGGGTTTTTATTGTTCTCTAGCTGTATGACTCTAAGTAAAAGCAGGTAACAGAGCAGAGTCTGTAACTCAGTCCAGCTTCCTGCTCTTAGAACATTTTGCAAACCCAATTTCTGTTCATTTTCTCTATGAACTTCCACACTTCATGGCCTTGAAAGCATCTTCTCCTGGGTTTCTGTGGGGCTCCATCCTGCTGTTGTTGCCCCTTGCCAGCTCCTGTGAAATCTGGTTCTGTCAATGTTTGCACAGGTTGTGTGCTTTCTGCAGATTGTTTAGGGGAAGTCTCATCACCTGTGGGTTTACACAAGCAGCGAGCAAATAGAGGATAATTTATGAGACCAGTTCGTCCAGTGCTAAACCAAACCAAGCCAAGCCTGCTAACTGCTGCAGGAGTGTGTTACATTGTCTGCTCATATATGTTGGGTAAAAAGGTTTTGGCATCTTCAGAGGTAAGGGGTGGATATGATTTTTATCTGGGAATTAATGAAACCTCAGGCACGTGTTCAGCTTTTCTAGATTTTCAGAAAGGAAACGATCCCTTTTAGGTACCTCACTGTGTATGAGTGTGAGAAGGAAGCTTCAGTTTGCTGTAGATAATTGGGCTTAAATTATAGCCCTTAAGAGTCTGGTTGTACCAACTTTTTAATTCAATCCCTTGCAGTTGTAATTCCCTCATGCTTTCCCTGTTGCCTGCTTTTCTGTCGCTCAGATGTGGCTCTGAGAGACAACAGGGTACCAAACCACTGAGCATGGCAGAGTTAGCACAGAATTCATCCTTGGATCAGCCCAGGTTCCACTGGCACCTGCAGGCTGCTGGAAAAGCCTCAAGGATGTTTGGACTGGTCAGAAATAGATCTGGCTGCTGAAGGAAATGAGTGACGTGGGGAAAAATGGACATAGCATGAAGAGTCTGGCAGGAAGAAGAGGCATCAAAAGAGAAGGACCAGTGAGGAAATCTGAGTTTTCCTGTTCTGTATTAATGGGTATATTACTGACTTTCTGACTGAGGTGTTGGGGCATTTGCTGAGGGTAGAGGAGGAGAATTTCCATTCTCCTAAATGTCTCATAATTTCTGTAAGACTCAAGAAGGTCTTGCTTTTCCCATTATGAAAGGGGAACTTTGGTTGTTTTTTTTTTTTTTAATCATGAAGGGTTTCAGGTTATAGCAAAACGTTCTCATGCCCAGCTCTAACTGGTGTGGGAAAGGATGATTCTGTACAGGAACTCATGACTGCAGTGTCTGTCATCATGACCTCCCTCCCAGTGCCCCATCGTTTTTGGGTTTTGATGACCTTTAACAGAGTATTTTCTGAAAGGGGTGATCCCATTGTCATGCATCCTGTTGAGAACAGTTAAGAGAAAGTTAAGGAGGGACAGAGTGTTGAGAAAACACTGACATCTCCCTCATTCTTGAGCGCAAGTTTAGATTTTCTAAGCTCAGATCATCATCAGTTGAAACTGCTGGAGCCCACAGGAGAATGAGTTCATTGGTCTGTGGTCAGATGAACTGAAGAGTGGGTGGAGAAGGGCACTGCCAGGCCGGGGCAGTTCCTCTGCCACTGGGAAATGATGACTGTCAGCAGCCCCAATCCGCTGGCTGTGTTGCTCCAGGAAGCCAGATTTGTCTGCTGTGCTGGTGGGGAGATCTGTGGGCTCTGCACACCTCGGGGCAGGGGTGCAGCTGGTTTCACTTTGAGCTGGGGGTGGCTAACCCTGCTGTTTCTCCCTCCCTCCCTGCAGTACTGCCAGTAACTCCAACCGCAGCACTCCTGCCTGCTCCCCCATCCTGCGCAAACGCTCCCGCTCCCCGACGCCGCAGGACGCCCCGGGAGACACCATGGTGGAGAAGGGCTCGGACCACTCCTCAGACAAATCCCCTTCCACGCCGGAGCAGGGTGTCCAGCGGAGCTGTTCCTCCCAGTCAGGCCGCAGTGGGGCCAAGAACTCCAAGGTGAGCAGCCAGCGAGCGGCTCCGGCCGAGGTGGGCACGTGTCCCCGGTGCTGAACTCCCTGCTGCAGGACACTGGCTTTGTCCTGTGCCTTCTGTTCCTCTGGATAACTCTCCCCCTTCTTCCCCCACCGTATTTCTGGAAGTTCTCCTAACTAGGGTCAAGTTTTCCTAAGTAGGGTCAAGTCCTCCTCGCTAGGGTCAAACTCCAGCACAGCTCCATCATCCTTGCAGCGACCTGAGTCCAGGAGCTGCTGATGGCTGGTACTGCAACTCCCTGACAGCTTCCAGAGCCTCACTTTCTATAGTTTCTATAGCTTCCTGGGAGGCTCTGTGGTTCTGAGAAAGACCTTGAAAATCAACTGTTGAAATTACTTTTTGTCATCTGGATTTGTAGAGCGCCATGGAAAAAATAAAGGTTCCCCTGTGCAGCCTGTGAGGGGCTTGTGCACTCTCAGTCCTGCCTAAGCCCTCTGAGATGAGGCTCAGGTTGCACAGTTTTCCAGTCCTCTGCCCATTCCTTCTGATCAGTGCAGTGTTAGGGCTGGCTTGGCCAGGGTAGGTGGTATTTTCCCTAGAAAGGTTTTGTGTCCTTGGACCATGTTAGAAGCAGCCTTGCCTTTGCTGTGCTGCAGAAGAGGGTCTCAGGTTTGGCAACTCTGGGTTTTTCTGTGAGCAGTGGGAGCTGGTGAAACACAGCCCTTGGGAGCCAAACATACCTTTGATTGTAACCCTGCTATCAGGGATGTGTTTTAAGTCATCTGTCAGGAGCACTTGTGTTTTTCCAGCTTTCTGAAGTGAAATATTTCAGCCTGAATAACTTCACAGTTATAACTCTGGTGGCTTGTACAGAATGAGCTGTTAGATCTCTGCCTGATCTGTTGCTGGGCTGTGTCACACACGAGAAATCTTCATCTGCTGCCCTTGGTGGGCACTCTCAGCACAGGAACAGGATTCAGTGGCCCACATTCCCTGGGCTGAGCTGATCTCTTCCCACTGGGGGGAGTTGTGTGAGTTCAAAAGAGTGGGGAGAAGGGTTTTTTTCAAGCCGAACCGTTTGAGCTGTGAGGTTGCCCTCGGGGTCAGCCTGGCTTCCTGTGCACACAGTGACCTACAAACACTGCTGGGTGACACCCGTGCACTCTGTTCCCAAAAGCAAGCCATGGGATGGGATGCCATGGGATGGGATGGGATGGAATGGGATGGGAGGCAGGCAGGATGCAGGGCATGCTGTGTTTATGGCCACACTGGGGGTTGCTCTCAGGGAAGTGGTGTCCTTGCTAAGGGGGAATTGCAGACATGAGTTGCACTGCCCTGGCCCACAAAGTGCTGTGAATTAAGGCCATGGGAGTGAGATTTTTACCAAAACAGTGACTGCTAAAGCTTAACTTTAATTCATGGTGCTTTCCACGAGAAAAGGGGGGGGTATGCTGCTCTCTCTTGGGTTTGTGGGGTTTCCTTCTCTTGATTTGCCAGGTAATTTTTCTTCTTTCCCTAATCTCTCTCTTTTCATTCCTGCATGCTTTCTCTCCGATTAAGTCACACAAGCGCCTCTCCAAAGTAAGCCTTCTTTTTTCTCTCCTGTCCCCCACTGTAGAATTGTCTCATCACTCAGGTGCTGAGTGGTGACCCCAGTCACAGGCATTCTCCTGGTGCAGCTGTGAGAATGCCAGCAGAGCTCAGCCCCGTGCCTGTAGCTGGAAGCTGATTTCACTTAAATCCCTGACATCTTGTTAAGATTTGCTCACACAGAGTGAGAACTGGCCTGTTCATCACACTCCCTCAGTTACTTCCAACTGCCTTCAGCCTTTTAGTTTTGCTTTCCCCCTCCCTAGAAGTGAGCAGCTGCCTTTGCCAGGGAGAGGTCCCCTGGATTTGGTAGGTTGAGCAGAACCATAATCCCTTCTCTTCCCTCTCTTCCTTCATGACTTTCAGAAAAAAGAGTTGCTCTCCATAGCTTCTTCCCTGCTTTTTATGATGAACAGCAGTTTTGTGGCCAGTGGTCTCAGCTTTACTGCCCTTGCACGCTTCCCTGTGTGATGTAAATGTTAAAGATCAGTGATTTCAAGTGAACCCAGCTTTAACCTGTTAGAACAGACCTGTCCCAGATGAATTGTGAGAATTCATGGGCTCAGCTCTGGAAGGTGACAAGTAGAAGATCGCTCTGTGGGTGCTTGGATTGGAGATAAGATCATTTGAGGTTGGATCTCACACCTCTGTGCTGCCCTAAGAAGAGTGTGAAAATCAGAAAGGCTGTTGGCACTTCCACGTGTGTGCAGGGAAAGTTAAAAGCAGACTGGCCTGGATGGCTTCATGACCCACAAAATCCATGCCTTGGCCTTGGGTGTCATTCTAGGCAAGTCCTCAGGGAGCAGGGTGGTGATCCTTGTAGCCAGCCTGGCCTTGCACGAGTCCTGGTGTCTCTTGGAAGCTTCTTTATGTCTCTTTTTTTTAGACAGGCTGTCTTGTGCTTGGTAACTGTAGCTTGGATAACTGCAGAGGAGTGGGACTGATGTCTGTGGAGAGGTTTGTTAGGAGTGGGAATAGCAGTGGTAGAGAGCAATGTGTGTGTAAATTGTCTGTGATGTGCTTGCAGCCACCCCTTGCTTCTCTGGGAGAACAAAACCCACCCACTGGGAGACAATTAGAGAAACAAGAGGGAAGTGGAGCCCAAGTTGGTCCCAGTGTGAGGAAGGTGATGCTCAGAGGGAAGGGGATCCTGGGCATGACCCCCACCAACCTGTCAGAGCCTCCTGCCCTGCTCACACACACTCACACAGAATATTCTGATCTGGAAGGGACCCACAGGGATCACCAAGCCCAGCTCTCTGTGCAGCCTAACCCAGTGTGCAGGCTGGATCTTTGCTCTCTGCTCTTCCTTTGGCACAAATGAGGAATTCCAGATACACCAAACCCCCTGATTCTCCCCACTTAGATGACAGTGGTTGTTCAAGACAGGGAGAGCTCAGGAGCAGGGAAGGACAGAGATTTTAAACTCTCCTTCCTCAGCCTCCTCTCCTCCCCTCAGCCATCTCCTGCAGGAGGAATCGATTTTCCAACCTGTCTGGCTAATGAAATGGAACAGCTTGAGCCCATGAGTTTGACGCTGTGTTTATACAATTGCTGACAGATCTGCTTGAGTCCCTTGCCCTCTTTTGTCCGTCTCTCCTGTCGTGCTGCAGCGCTGCCATCAGAGGGAGCGCTTCACCAGGAGTTTTTAAGCACTGGATTCCATCCTGAGGCAATCCCTCCTGGACCTGCTTTTCCTCTCTGTCCCCCAGTGTGGCATGGACCAAACCACCCCTAGGTCTGTGTCAGCCTCAGGCTTTCACTGGTAGTGCTGCTTCTTCTGGAACAGCTTTCCAAACTCAGAAAAACCCCACCTTTTCTCCCAGTAGCCAACAACAAAATATGTATTTTTAACTCTTTTGCTCTTGCCCAAGGATAAAAGTGATTTCCTCTCCGTTGCAAGTCCTTCAGATTGTTCCCAATACCCACAGCTAATGAGGAATGCTGAGGATTAATACCAGGTTAGGGTAAAACCTGAATTTTGATGTGGGCCCTGGGCACTGTAGAACAGTTGAGGTCAGAAGAGATCTGGGAAGGTCTCTCTCAAAGCAGGGCTGATGTGGTAAGATAAGCTCAGTCTAAAGTCTTGGCCAGCCACTTTTTGCAGACCCCCAGGGCTGGAGATCCCCCAGCCCCTGCTCCAGTGCTTAACCACTCTTGTGAACAGGCTTTTTCCTTCTACTCAAGTAGAATTTCCCTTTACTGCAGCTTATGACTGTTGCACTTTGTCCTTTCAGTGTGTGATGATGGGAAGAGTTGGGCTGTGTCTTCTCATTCACCCTCCCACTGGGTGGTATAATCCCCCTTTAGGTTGCAGCTCATGAAATTCTGGTCATTTTGGGCTGGGGTGAGGGTTTGGGGAATAAATTTAATGAATTTCTGTGAGTTATTTGCCCACGGGTATTTAGAGGTGGATAGCAGAGATTTTGGAAGTGCACAGATCAGGAGAAAGGGCTCTGGAATATATTCCATGCTCTGGAATATATTCCTCGTTCTGTGCCTCTGTCCCCAGCAGAAGGGATTTAGGGATTCTCCTGGAGCCCTGTGGCATGTCAGTCACTTGGCACAAGCTTTTTGTTCCCCTGGGAGCAACAGTGTGCAGGACTGAGCTGTGATCCTGCTCCCAGTGCTGCTGGAAGGTGGGAGCTTCCTTTGGATCAGGTTATCAGGGTGAACTTTGTCTGTGTGCCCCTGTGCTTCCCATCTGCACTGTGTAAAGCTGGGATCCTCCACAGCACTGTGTCAGATATGGGGTTATTAACCCACAGGGATTTAGAGGCAGCACTGCATTAATTGAAGGCTCAGGGAAAATACTCCAGTTTTCGTGTTGCTCAAGTTCTCCAAAGCTCTTCCTCTGCTCTCTGCTCCTGTAGCATCATCTCTGCAAACCAGCCCCATCTTTTCCATGTCTGTGTGCACCTCCATTCCTCTGTTACTTATTTATTTTCTCTTTTCAGTTCTAATGCTTATGGTTTCTTTTTCCAGTATGACAGACTTAACCTGCTCAAAGTAAGAAACATGTTCTTCCTTTTTCTTTTTTTTTTCTCCTCCATTTTACTGTCTCTTGGTTTTCACAGTTCACATCCCCCTATATTCTGTCACTGAGTATAAAATAAAAGGGTAAATAAAATAGAAGAGAGATTTAAAGGCTCGGTCTCCCTTCTCTCTGAACTTTTTGTAGTCTGTTAGAACATTTGGTGGAGGCAAAGGATGAGGATTGGGTGCCAGTATAATTATGGATTTCAGTATATTTATTGATGCCAGTATGGGTTTTTTGGGGGTGGAAGAACTTAATAAAGGAGAACCTGCAGGGCTCCTTTAGAGAGGAGCCCCTTAATTTGGGGAAATTCATATGTGATGGTGGTGGTGGGGAAATAGTTGCTGCAATTAATGCAGCAGAGGGGAGTGAAATCCTGTTGTGCTGTGCTCCCACCACAGCGTGTGCACCCTGATTTAGAAGGCACAGTGACAGCAGTGCCTCTGCCTCGAGTGTGCCAATTATAGCTTGATTATGAGCTGCTTTTCCCCAGGAATTTTCTGAGTTACTCCTTTTGCTCATTAAAGGCAGACAGATGGCAAAACAAACCTGCAGGAAAACCACTCCATCTTAGGCCCCGTGCTCCCGAGGACAAGGTGCTGTGTGCATGCTTTGGGTTAATTACCCTGGTTCTTTTTTTAGTGCAGACTGAATTGCATAAGGCCTTTTTCCACGTCCTGCTTGCAGGGAGGGATGACTTCAAGCAGATCCTTCATGAATGGAGGGTATGGAAAAGTGTAGGAAGCAAGAGGAAATTCCTTGGGTAGCTCATGAGCTGTACTCTGTGTTCAGTCCTACAGTTCATATCCTTTCCCCGGGATTTGGGGAAAGGAAGGTTCCTCTTTGTAACATCAAACTGCTGTATTTTAGCCTGTGACATGAACTATGTAGCTGTGGGGTTTTGAGGTCAGTGAGGCAGACTGGGAGATACGCCCAAGGTTTTAAAATACCCTTCAGAAACGTCTCCATGAACAAAATCCAAGACACCGGTAAGGTTGTGTTTGCTGGAATGGCGTGGAAGGGGCACAGGGAACTGAGAGCAGGGAGAAAACAGTGTGTCTTCACAGAAATCTTGGGTCCAATCTGCTGTCATTAACACTTTGAATGTACTTTTTTATGGTGAAACATCCTGTGTGTCCTCTCTGGGCCACCCCAGTGCAGGTGGTTTCTGTGTTGCTGTGAGCTTGAGCTTCACTCTTGAGTGAAACTCTGTTACAAGGCAGAGAACAGTTTTGTGTTTGCCTTCATATCTCTGGCTGGGTATAAAGAGTGAAAAATACTGCCAAGGTCAGAAGCAAGGTGGCTTCAAGGAGAGGAGATGCAGTGGGATGTTGCTGCTGTCCTTGTCTGTTTTCCTGGGCTCCCCCAAGGAATGTGGACGTGGTTGGGAGAGGGGACAGCCCAGCTTTGTGCCTCTGAGACATGTTCCTGGCAGGACACTCTGTAGCTGAGCACCCTCAGTGCTCAAAGGCTGCAGTGCCCTGAGGTGTTTCCACCCAAAAATGGGGGATGCCTGCATGTCCTGTCAGCTCTGCTCAGTGTCATTGGAAAGTCACCCTGACTGGAGTGGGAGTGGGAAGCTTGTTCCTTCCTCTTCTCCCTGTGCAGGTGGATCTCACCTCCAGCTGAAAATGGCTGAGTGTGACTTCCCAAGCTGAGCTTTTCCATGTGCTCCAATGTGACATGTGGCCTGTCCTCTCCAACCACCCGAAATGCCAGGATAAGGACAAAAAGATTTAAAAAAAAATCACATGTGCAGATGATGCAAAACACTGTGCACTGAAATTCTGAAAAGAAAAAAAAAAATCCCAGCCTTTTTTTTTTTTTCCCTTTGCTTAGCTTTTGTAGTGATTTCCTTCAGCACTTCCCCTGGCTCTGTGTGTGTGTGTCTCCCTTTTGAAATGCTGTTGAAAAAAATTTGCCTGGTGGCTTTTTGTGAGTCCCTGCCTCTAGTAGTGCTTTGAGGGTTTATTTGCACAGGGGCTGTTCAGCAATGTGATTTTTGCCACCCAGCCAGCAAATGTAGAAGAGTGAAGCCCCTAAAGACACGGCTGGCAATGATGGTGATGATGATGATGGTGATGATGATGAGCTCCTCTGTTGTAGCAGGTGCTGCTGGTCTGCAGAACAGATGCCAGCCTGTGTGTCTGTGTGTGTGCATGTGGACATGCACACCTTAGCCTGAACTGTTTCCTGTCCTGGAATCCTGCTTCTGGATTTGTTCTTTGCTCCTGTAACTGGAAATAATTATGTTTAGACCACACTGTGGAATCCATTGAAATCTTCTGTTTAATCCCTCTCTCACTCCACTAATTGCACAAACCAGATTGGACCTGCTTTCTCTGTCCCTCTTTCTTTTTGATCCTGAGATCTCTGTGCTGACTAATGCTTCTCTTTTATTTTGTCCTTACAGAAAAGCCAGAGTTGGTATAATGTAAGTACTCCAGTTTCTCTTGTCCCTGGGTGGATGTGGGCTGGGGGCCTGGGCGGGGGGAAGGTGCAAAGGGGCTTTGCAGTGGCACTGGGGGCACTCTGACCCTTTCCAAACGGAGATGGAAATGGCTCAGCACTGGCAGAGGAGCACTGGCATCCTGAGGGAAAGGATGCCAGAGATAGAGAGCGAGAGCTTTGTCTTTTCAGCCCTTGTCCTGGTGATCCTGCCTTGGGTTCCTCACAGGGTGGGTCATGATGAGGTGACAAACAGAGCTGCCACCCTGCAAGCCCTTTGCATCTCTCAGGGTGGTGTGGGGGTGAGACAGGAGTTATTTTTCTGGTGACCCCACAGAAACACAAACCATCTCTTGCTTCTGCCCTGCCCCTGTTGTGGTGCTGCCAGCACGAGTGTCGTGGTGCAGAGCTGGTGCCACCCTTTGCACGGTTGGAACCCCTCCCTGGAGTGCTCTCAGGTAGCCAGTGGGCAAATGCAGCAGCTGTTAATGTTCAGCAGCAGTTCCTCCTGCAGCCTGGGACATCAGAACCTGGGATTTTGGCTGGTCAGATGTGGCAGAGGTGTGAGAGGCAGAGTTAGGTGCTTGTGGGATATAACCAGGGTGGTAGCACGGACAGGAGGAGAAGTGATCTCAGGAGCAGATGAGGCAGTGGCTTCAAGAATAAAATACAGACCATGGGAGACCAAACTAGTGGAGAAGTGGCAGGTAAAGGACTGTGGATGCAGATGCACCAGCCTGAGCAGGCTGCTGCCAAAATGTGAACCTGTCACCAAGCTGAAGGTGACTTGTGCTATTACTACTTCTGCCTGTAGCTGCTGAGCTCCATTCCCTGTGCATGATGCTTTGCTGTGCTCTGCTTCTGTGGGTCTCCTGTGTTTTCATGTCCTCTCTATCTTATCTTTCTGTTCTCTTGTTTTTCCTCCATATATTTTCAGCATGAGAGACAGTACATCCGGAGAGTAAGCACTGGCTGCATTTTTTGTGGTTTTCCTCCCCCCCCATTATTTTCCTTTAGAAAACAAACCAAACACCAAAAACCAAATCCATGTTCTAGTTAGCAGAGTCATTCTGGCCAGATAAAAGCAGCAGTGTGAAAATATGGATGGGCCACAAACTCCAGGAAGGCAGTCCGTCCCACTTGGAATTATTACTACCATCAAAAATTTGCTAATGTGTGGTCTCCTTTCTTTGCCAGCTCCTTCCAGGCAGCATTTTTCTGGCATTTGAACCCTTCTGATTCTTCCATTCCTTTCCCCTCTGAGAGCAGCTCTAGAAATGAATCAGTGGAGGCTGCCTCTTCCTGAAGCCTTACAGTTTCCCTTACTCACTTTCATTTTACATAAATTCCACTGTGCTCAAACACCCTCCACATTGTTCTTTGTGCCAGCTCAGCAGCCCTGGGTGCCAGGCACTGTGCAGACAAACCAAAACATAGCCCTTGCCTCAAAGAGTCCTCAAAGATCCTTCAGAGTATCACCAGTTTTCTAAGATGACTTTGGTTTCTGCTGCTTTTAACTGGTCTTTTTGTCCTTGTAGCACTGCATCCCTCTTTGCCAGTTGGGGCCCTCCCTTTTCCCTCTCCTGGATTTGCTTTTTCTCTATTTTTTTCCTTAAAATGCCACTTGTTCTCTTGCCTTATGTGTTCTCCTTTTGATCCTACCAGTGCTTTTTTGGGATTGACATCCCTGCCAGGTTGAGAAGTGGGAGAAAAGGGGTGACCCAAGGTCATGGATTGGTTTGCAGACCTGCCCTCTCTGGGTCTGGGTGTGCTTTCTGTGCTTGGCTTTCCAGAGGACAAAATGCAAACTGGTCCAGATGCACTGTGAGATTTAGAAGAGAACCCCAGTTGGAGAATAAATCTAAATGTACTCAACCTTGTGAGGTTTGCTTTGTGTTCCTGTCCTCGTGGTGGAAGAGCAGAATGTCCCTGAGGTGTTTGTCGTGCCTTCAGTGAGGAATTGTGGACAAGGAGACTCTGGTTTACAAGAATTGTGATTCTTATGGAGCAAACCTCTGTTGCTCAGCTGTGGTTTAGGCTTTGGAACTTGTGTGTCTGCATGGTGAATTATTGGCACTTGATTTTTTTTTTTTAATTTTAGAAATTATTTTTAAATTAATTTAAAAGAATTAGAACAGACCTCACCCCCAAACTTACTCAGTAATTCTGTGTATTGAAACAGAGGTGTGACTTTTTTTGCACACCTGCTGCTCTTGGAGAGGTGGGAAACTTGTGTTTCACTTCCCTGGTGACACGAAGCGGGAGTTGCTCTGTGTGGGGGGATGTCAGGAGCTCCACAATTGGTGGGAGGAATTTGTCACCCAGCAGATGTCATTAAAATTAGAGCCAAACTGGAGATATTTTGCTGCCAAGCCTGAAAGCTCTCCTTCATTCTTCTCCTTCTCTCTGGGCTTTGGGCAGAGGGCCCCATTTCTGAGCATGGGGAGCTCTCAGATCCTGTGTCCTGATGTCAGAGCACAGCTGACACACTGGCAAGTCTGTCATGGTTTTTTCTGCCTATTTCTGTCTCAGTTGGACTGTCAATCCTTCTACTTCCCTGTTCCTAAATTAGAGAGGGTGTCTCTGATTTTCTGCAGCGTTTCTGCTGCTCTGTAGCAAGGCTTGCTTCTTAAATTGCCTCCTGCAGCACCAGGCATCAGGAGAATCTAGACTATGCTCTGGAAAAGACAGTAAGATGATCTTGAAAAGTTAGAGGAAACAGTTGACAGCAGAGCAGAGGTGAGATTTACATCTGTCCACGATGTTTTCATTTTATTATTGGGATCCCAAGGTCTACCCTACTCTGTACTCCCTTCCTTTGCTTTTGTCTATCACATGCTTGATTATTTTTCTTCTGACAGCTTCTCCCTATAACTGACCTGAACACTGAAAAGACACTGATTGTCCATGTCAAGTGTTCTTAAATACCACTAAAACCATTTGCTGTCCCTGTAAGTCTGAACAGATCAGTGGGAGCCCAGTTGTTCCTATTTGTCCTTGAGAGAGCAAAGTCTGCCCTGGGGATGGGACACAGTGGGACAGGAGTGCCCCTGGAGCTCTGCAAACAAATGCTCTGCACACAGGGCAGCTCTGAGCCTCAAAAACACACCCAGGCAAAGGAGAGAGCCCAAGGCTTTCCTTTGGGAAAGCTGCAGTGAAACCCTGTGCAGCAGGAGCTGGGGGCTGGCTGAGGATCTGTGGTGAAATGTGATGCTGCAAAGGGCCTTTGTGGAGACCTTTGGGCAACCCTTGAGCTTCTGAAGAAAAACCTCAAGCCATCACAAGACTGAACACCACGAGGAATCAGCCCTGTACTGTCTCTTCTTCTTGGAGACCTCGTAGATACCAGTGGAGGGGAGACTGAGCTGTTGAAAAGAGTCAGATGTTCCCTATGAAGACAAAGAGAAATTATGCATCATTTTAGGGAAAACATCAGAAACACTTTTCCTGTGAGTGGCAGTCTCAGCAACAGCAACCATGTGAACAGGGTTGACTGCAAAAATCCAGGCCTGTGAGTGAGCAAAGTGTGGAACAGCCTTTTTTCTCTCTACATCAGCACAACCATCTTTTAAGTTCCAGTAACCATGTTACCAAACTCTCCCTGGAGCAGTGTTAACTCACTGTCTCTCAGGTGTTTTTCATGCTGTCAGATTTTCCTTGGCTCTTTAGGTGTATGGAATGCCAGCCTGGCTCAGGTGGGTTGTAAAGCCACTAAATTAGAAGTGAACTTCTGGTGCAAGCTGGTGTGATTATGAAATCCAATTTTCCACCCCAGATGGCCAGTGATTGCTTCGCAGCATCTTCCCTTGCTCTTCGTTCACTTTTAAAAGGAGAAAAAGAAAAAAAAAAAAAGGAAGAAAAATCTGAGCAACCAGACTGGGTTTGGAAGAAATGCTGTGGGACAGGTGGCCAGTGTCTTTGCTGTCAGTGAGGTCAAAACTCTCCCACACAAGCAGGGAATGTATTCTGTTCTTTTCCAGCAGTTTTCCAGAAGCAATGTAAATCTTCCCTAAAGGCTTAAGAGCAGGTCCATCAGCCATGCAAATTGGATAAGGTTTTCCTCCCCCCTTTCCCCTCTACCTCTTGCCATCTCTCCTCACCCCTTTTCTGTGACACGTGCTGTACAATTCCACACACTTCTCAGTTCTTGTTTTGTCCAACTTCCCTGTCCTTCAGGTCATGCTTTGGGCTTCCTGGGGAGGGTTTGTTTGTGGATAAGAGGGAGATGTCACTGTGGGGAGTCACCTTCTCTGCCCATTTCCCCCCAGCCCTGGCAGTGCCGTCCTGTCCCGTCTCCCTCTGTTTGCAGTAGAGTTAATGTTTGCTGCCTCCACCTCCAGGTCAGCTCTTCCCATCACTGGTGTCCTTCATCTCTGCACAGGCAGGTGGGTGGGGGGGTAGACAGAACCATCCTGGTGGTTTTTTTTCTTTAGATGAATCCCATATGCAGTTTCCAGTAAAGCAATGCAGATGCCTGTAATCCCAATCCTTAGTCCTTCCCAGTCTACAGAATGGTTTGGTTTTTTATTGTTCCCTCATCCTGGGGTGCAGATGGATCTACTGGTTCCTTTTAACAGGGCTAAATGGAGAGACCTGTGTGTGCTGTCTGGGAGCAGCAGTGATTTTGGGGAGCAGCTGAGCAGGCAGAGGGTCAGTGAGCAAGCTGCAGTCACTGGCCTGGAGTGGAACCAGACCTCTGCAGAGGCTGGGTTGGTTGCTTGCTTGGTGTTTTTTTGGTTTTGGTTCTTTTTGAGACCTGTATGCCCAGTTTGTTAGGAAGAATGAGGATTTTGCTTGTTTGCTCATAGCTGAGCATCACTGGTGCTGTGATGTGAACATTTACCTGTGCATTTACCTGGGCAGGGAGATGGAAAGGCTGCCTGGGCACTAAGGGCAGAGGGATACAGGGAGTTCCAGCACTCTAGTCTTCCTGGGACTTGCAGGGAGTTCTTTTGCAAGGAAGCCCTTGCCTTTCCTTTCCAATGTGACCTGACTAATAAATGAAACCTAAAAATTCCAGTTGTTTTTTGGGGGGCGAGAGATGCACACAGGAGCAGTACAGCCCTCCAGATTCCTGTCTGTGTGGGTCTCACAAGGCTGGTTCCTGATTCCTTAGGCTGGTCTCTCCTTGCTCCCCTTTCTGCTCCCCCAGCACACCCTGTCCAGCAACTTTCCATGACAGGAAACATCTGCTGGGAGGCAGGGCCGGGGCTGGGTTACTGCCGGGCATTGGCCGCCGGAATTACCCGGCTCCAGTGACTCCAGGCATGTGCGAGGCATTTTGGGATCTTCCCCACCCGCCCCTTCCCTGGGAAACACACAGAGACTGGAGCTGCGAGAGCACAGCCCGAGGCAGACACTGAAGAGGAAGAATTACTGCTTTTCTGCTTTCAGAGGAGGGGGGAAGAGCTGAAGTGGGAGTTGTTTACCAGCCTGTTGAGCCTTGGAAACCGCGGCTCCATCCGTGAGTTCCAGCTGCTCCGGTGGGGTTGGAGGTATTTTGGTGGCTGGCTCTGCCTTCCCTATGCATCAGGAGCTGCAGGTGCCCTGCACAGACCTGCTGGGGTGGCTGTGGGCACTTGTGCAGGGGATGCCCACGGCAAGGAGTGGCTGAGCTGGGAGCAGGAGAGCACTGGGGTTGCCCGCCAGCACCGTTACCCCGATGAGCCACTTGGAAGAGAGTCCTCTGGAGGGCAAGTCCTCTCCGAGATCCTCAGGGGCTGCTGGGGCAGAGGAGCTGAAAGTGAGCAGGAAGGCAGGAGAAGGCACCTAAACTCCTGCCAAGCTGCTGTATCTCTGTCGACTTTGGACATAAACAAAAAGCGGCGGGAACAGGAACAGGAAAAGCAGAGTTGGAGAACACGGGGAGCTGTGCAAGTGCTGAGGGAACACCATGGATTCCTTGCTGGAGTGTGGGTCTCTCTGGGATCATTTGCTGGATCAAGAGCTGCCGTGTCTGCGGTGGGACCTGGAGGGAGTTGTCGACTTGTCACGAGGAAATGTGAGCCTTGGATCAGATGGAATCCCAGCTGTGAGTGTCTCTAAACTGAACCGTTTGCCACCCTGACAGAACTGGTGCTGAGCAGAGCATCTGCTGTAGGACAGGCTTTAGGCAGGCTGGGCCATCCCTTAGTGCAGGGAAGGGAGTGGAGTGCCCCTGCACATGGAAGCTGTGCTGCTCAGCTGGGCTGTGTTAATGCACTGAACCCAAAGCTCAGAGCTGATTACAATCTCTGTTCCCCACTCCGTTCCCATCCTGTCTGCTTGTTCCTGGAAGTCTTGGGCTTGGGCTCTTGCTGGAGCCCGTCTCTGACCAAGATCTTTTCCAGATGTTCAGGCTGGAAGTTTGGTGAGTAAAATTCACATTTGTGTCATCTGCTGCCTGGCGGCTTTGATTCCCAAGTAAGATCCTTTCCTTTGGGCCCACAGGACTGGAGCAGTTATTGGAAGTGCTGAGCTCATGTTGAAATACATTGTAGTTCATTGAATTGGTGTGAGGAAGAGGGAATGCTTTTGGGGGCAGGGGACTGTCTGTGATTTGACAGCCAAAATCAAATCTTCTTTGATTTGACAGCACTTGGCAATTCTGTGAGGCTAATGCTAAATAAACTTCACATTCCTCCCACCACCATCTCAAACAGAAGCTACCTTTGATTTTTGAGGCCCTTTCTGCTCTGGGAGATGTGTTGTTAGCTGGAAGAGATAGGAGAAGGTTGTTGGGAAGAAATGGGAGGTAGGGAGGGAAGAGGTTGTACCCCAGGAGGCTTCTCCTTCCCTACATTTGTGTGAGGAAGAACGTGGCAGATTATCTGGGAGATGGGAATTTGCACCTGCCTCTATTTTGGGCAGCTCTGCCTTCAGAAGCTGTTGTGGCTGTTTTGGGGAACTGTCAGCGGGGCAGAGTGTGGAGGAGGTGGTCTGACGTGGAGTTCACATTGTAGTTCAGCAAATCCCAGAGAGGAGCCAGCTCCTGGTCTCCCTCCAGCCAACAGCACCGTGTTCTCCGAGCCCTTCCATGAGGCCAGGGCACAAAATAAGTGCATGACACAGTTTAGTCCCTGTGAGAACCTTTTCTGAGCCCCACAGAAGTGTCCTCACCACAGCAGCACACAGCTGTGTGTGCGCTGAGTGCCCCTCCATGGGGAGAGGGCTGGGATGAGAGCAGTATTCCTGAGCTCTTGATGGCAGGGATTGCTCAAGTTCCTCTGGCAGGGCTGCAGCTGTGCTGGGTCACCTACTTGCTGAACTCAGCTGGGAATTGGCAGTTAACTGATGCACTGCAAACAGAGCACATGTCATACCTTGTGCAGTTTGGGATTGCAGGGAAGGAGTTTTCCCCCGCAGCCACAGCTTCCAGGCAACTCCCAGCTGCAGGTATGGGTGCAGCCCTTCTACCCTGTACTTACTCTTCCAAGTCAGGTTCTCCTCTTCTTCTCACTTAATGCACTAAATCCCAAACCCTCCCATCTCTGTTGGCTGTGATGGGAGTTGGTCTCATGCTTTGTGAGTGCATCTGACCCCCCTTCTCCTTCCCAAGGTGTTCCTGTTTTCCCTCTCCATGGCTCTGTTCTCATGCCTGCCCCTCTCTTTAACAGGCCCTCTGTTATTTGCAGGTGTTGAGTCCAACGTACAAACAACGGAATGAGGATTTCAGGAAACTCTTCAAGCAGCTCCCGGACACGGAGCGACTCATCGTGGGTAAGTCCAGCCCCTCAGGGCTCTGCTCTGTCCTGCTGGAGGGGAAATCCAGCACATGTGCATCCAGCTTTTCCTTCTGCAAAGAGGTTGCCACCAAGGAACAAGCCCGTTGTGTCTGTTGTGCACAGACAGAGCCCCTCCTCACCATTTCGGGTGGGTTCCACTTGTTTTGCTTCAGGGAGAGCAGCACTGATTTGTGATGGGTTCCCTCATGATTTGAGGAGCATGTGTTCCTCCCCAGTGTTCCCCAAACCTCACAGGGTGTTTGTGCTCTTCTAGTACTCAAGAGGAGTCTTAGAGGGTTCTTTGTGGCCTCATGTGGTGGGGGTTGCAGGTCTCCATGTGAACAGCACAGAGCTTCCCTATTCCCTCATTTCCCGGTGCTCCCAGCTCACACATGGCTGCCCTTCCCATGCCCAGTGAGGCTTGGGCCTCACAGCTGATTAGGGACTGCCCAGTGCAAGAACATGCATCTGTTCTGCTCTCTTATGTAAGTGCTGATCTCGGGCTGTGTCTCACTGCTGAACAAGGCACGTCAGAGCAGAGGGGTGGGAATTGTTGAGGGTGCTCGAACCAGGAGAGAAGCAAACAATGACACTAGAAGGCAAAACAGAGGAGACAGATTAAATCTGGCAGTCCTACGTAGGATGCTCCAGGGTGGCCAGCTGATCAGGCAGGATCATCAGTCAGTGAGAGAGACTGTGTGTGACGTGCCCTTGGGAGGAAACATAACCCAGTGGCCGGGGCAGCAGCTGGGGCTCGGCTGGGTTGTGGGGAGCAGCTTCTTCTCTCCGTGCTGCCACTCATCCTCACCTTTAGGCTGTCCTGCTGCCTGGTTGTGCTGCTCCTAAACCCTCTGCTGTCCACCCACAGATTACTCATGTGCTCTCCAACGAGACATCCTCCTGCAGGGCCGCCTCTACCTCTCGGAAAACTGGATCTGCTTCTACAGCAACATCTTCCGCTGGGAGACACTGGTGAGGCTGCCAGGCTGTGTGCCAGTGTGCTTTGTGTCAGCACGTTTGCTGACACTGCTCTGGAAGCACTTCTTTTCGTTGTCTCTCTCATCATCTCCTGTCTTTCCCTGTGTTCTTTCCTTCCTGGGTGGCTCTGCCCACAGCTGACCGTTCGCTTGAAGGACATCTGCTCGATGACCAAGGAGAAAACAGCCCGGCTCATTCCCAATGCCATCCAAGTTTGCACTGACACTGAAAAGGTACATCCTTGAAACCCTCACTTCTGATGGGTCTCAGGAGCAGGGGAATTCTGGGTGGTGTGGGATTTTTCCAGGCTGAATGGTCGTGCTACCTGGGGCAGCACCGAAGGGAAAGGGCTGGGTCTGGAACACACAGAGCTCGGATGTGGGATGTGGGGCCAGGTAAAACATCCAGTGTGGTTTGCCCACTCCTTCCATGAACTGCAGCTGGAAAGGGATCCAAACAGGCTTGTCTCTTCATATTCCCTTTTTTGGGCCGTTTCTGAACTGACTTTTCTCCCCATCTCTTCCCTTTCAGCACTTTTTTACTTCCTTTGGGGCTCGAGACAGGACGTACATGATGATGTTCAGACTCTGGCAGAACGCTCTGCTTGACAAGGTACTGAGACCATCACCTCACTGTTGGCTGGGGTGGAAGGGAGGGGATGGATGGAACCTGACTGCTGTGTGTGCATCAGAAGACATTAGGACAGCAGGCACATATTTTTAGGCAGAGCATGTTCATAACTGCAGGTGCAATTCCTTCTTTTTGCATGGAATTCTGTGCACACATTGTAGGTGCCACCCTGCCTTTGCTGAGGAGTGGAAACAGGGTCTCGGCAGGGAATTTTTTTGAAGTGTGTGATTCCAGTGAAGCAGCCCAGAAAAAAAGCAGTTCAAAGGGCAAGAGGAATAGCTCAGGGTGCGGGCAGAGTTCTGTGCTTCGGAAGTGTGGAGTTCCAAACAGGGCAGATAAAGAGTGTTCAGGGCATCCCAAATCCAAAGGAGAGCGGTGGTGGGTGCAGGATACACTCAGGGCTCAGTTTTAAAATAAAGCAGGGATGTGCTCCTGCTGTGCCAGAGGCCCCATATATCCTATATCTCGTCCAAATATCTACTCCACAGCCTGGTGAGTATTTCTGGCCTCACTGCTCAGCCTCAGGAACTGATGTTCCAGTGCTTCCAGCGTTTCAGGATGCCCTGGCTGGAGTTCAGACCATACTGGGAGGCTCAAGTAATCCAGCACCCGGAATACCCTGTCCTGAAAATTGGGGGAGTATTTGGGATGTACGGGGATCGCTTTGCATGGGGCAGCTTGTGCTGGGCCTTGTGCTGTAATTTGAGGAGCCTTTGGAAGTTCCTGACAAAATTCAGTGTGCCCTTGGTTTCAAGGTCAGAGCAAATGGGAACTGAGACGTGGAGTGATAAGGGCAGGAAACACTTCCAGAGCTCTTTTTTCCAAGAGGAGGAGAAAGAACCTATAGTCCAGTTTTCCTGATCAAACATGCAAATGAGAGTGTGTGTGGGGAGAAGGTGAAACAGTCAGACATTTCTCTGGATAGAAGTTCCTCATTAGAGTGTGGTTTTTTTTCCCATGCTTTTGATTGCTACTTTTGGGAGCTGGATTAAAAAATTCCTGCCTTATCCCATGCAGTTACTATGGGAAGAAATTCAAGCCGGCAGCTCAGAAAAAGTTCACTGGATTTGTTTTCCCTCATTACCAAGAAATTTTTGTCACTGGTCATAAGTTTCTCGTGGGTAAAAACCCATCCCTTTTTATCCCTGTGCCACGTATTTAAATCACAAGTTCTGCCCCATTTTTAAGAACCTCAGATCACAGTCATATGGTGATCAACTGACCTGCATCCCTGAAAAACTGGGCTTTTGTCAACACTCTGGATAATTAATTTTCTCTTTTTATCTCAAGCATATACTTTTCACAGAAGTATCTGGTGATACAAACTCCTTTTGATTTCAGACTGCAACAGGAAGTGTTTTTCTTTGTTGCTGCTTTAAATCATTTTCCCTGCAGCTGGGATTCTTTAGGCAGCTTTAATTTAAGGAAACTTGAAGGGCAAAATAACCTTGTAAGGTTATTTTCCTTGTAAGTACTCCCCACTGGGGCTTGGTAAAGTAGCAGATATTAAATGGAAGCACAGCAGAAGAGGTAGGAAAACACCTGTGGAGGGAGCTGCAGGTTTGCTGCTGGCATTATTCCATTGTAGAGTGGAAAATCTCACATCCCATGTGCTGCTCTGGGTGTAGCTTCATATTGGCTTTCTGACAGTCTTGAGTAATGTGAGATTGTGGCACGGAAAAATAACAAAATCAGGTTTTAGGGCAGAACCTGGGCTGATGGTGAAGGCTTTTTTGGGAAAAGAGCCTCTTAGTGCTTGATGGGGGCAACCTCTAAGGTAGCTTGACCTAACAAAATAAATTCCATAAAACGGAATTTCACAGAGGTGAGTCCAGTGTAAGGCTCTCACCTCCCATCAGGGGCTGTGTCAGGATCTCTCACTTCTCCTTTCAGGGCAAGCAGTGTACTCCTGACAATGGGAATTCCAGACTGTCGTTCTGTTTTAGTGTTCTTGGGTGCAGATGTGTGCTGTTCTCCTCCCCTTTTAGCCTCTGTGTCCAAAGGAGCTCTGGCACTTTGTCCACCAGTGCTATGGGAACGAACTGGGTCTGACCAGTGATGATGAAGACTATGTGCCTCCTGATGATGACTTCAACACAATGGGGTGAGTGAGGAGGAGGAAACTCTGCCTGGGAGGAAGAAAAGATGGCCCCAGGAGAGCAGGATATACTACAGGCCTCAGAGTGTTGTTTGTCCCTGGTGAGAGGTTCTGGGATCTGGCCAAAGGTTTGCCCTTAAATGTGTAATGCCTGAAACATTGAAAGCCCACCATTTCCTCTTGGGGGTTGGTAGGGATTGAAATGCCAGCTGGGCAACTGTGCAAATGCCAGAGCATCCCAGTCACAGGGTTACATGGAAAGTGCTGATGCTTGTTGGTCTGTGTGTAAACACTGAAAAGTCTGGGCTTCACTGAGCCATTTCTGCTTCTTGGCCACACTGGAAACTTCATAGGACTGTTCTCACTTGCTCTGTGTGTCCAGTTGTAGCTGTACTGAGAGGGGTAAATATAAAAACCTGTGTTCTCTGTGGCGTCTCAGTTACTGTGAGGAAATCCCCGTGGAAGAGAACGAAGTCAACGACAGCTCCTCCAAGAGCAGCATGGAGGCCAAGCCAGAAGCCAGCCCTCAGCTGCCAAAGAAATCTGTCACTGCCAGCACCCTGACATCCACGGGCAGCAGTGAAGCTCCAGCCTCGGTGAGTGTCCTCCCTCCCCTGGGAGCGGGAATGCTCCTCCCTGGGATCCCGCTGCTCCTTGCTTGTGTGAGGGAACTGCTCTGCTCCTCCACTGACTTCATGTCTCTGCGTGGCCAAAAAAAACACAATGAGCAAAGTGTGCCCATCCTAAAAGCCTGGGGCTCTCAGCAGCCAAGTGCATTTTCCTTTCTGTGCCCTCAGATGGAAAGGAATGGAGTGTTGGAGATAAAAAGGGTTATCATTGCTTTGCTGCCTTCAACGGTGCCCTCGTGGTGTTATGGCAGAGCAGACCTTGTTCAGTTATAACCTCGGGTTTTTTCAGCTTGTTTGAGAGCAAAACTAGTATTGTTTGTGTGCTTGTCTGGATAAAAAAGCCTTGTGGTGTCCCAAGCTTGAACACTGACTGTTTGACAGGAGGTAATCCAATATATCCACGTGTTTTACAAACACTGTATGGCAACTTTCCTCCTCTGTTATTGAATTTTTCAGACATGTCAAGGCTAAATACTCAAAGGTAGACAATTGGTTCACAAATGCAAAGTTTTCAAAAATGAGCCCCAGTTTCCAGGTGCTGATGCTGCCCTCCCTGTGCTCTGTGCTTGCTGCAGTTCGATGGAGTGCTCCCAGAAGAGGAGGAGGCAGTGGCAGAGAGCCCTGTGGAAAAAGACCTCGGCATTGCAAATATCATGGGAGAGAAAATGGACATCATTGGCCCTGTGAACTCCCCTTCCCTGGACTTCAATGACAACGAAGACATTCCCACTGAGCTCAGTGACTCCTCAGAGACCCACGATGAAGGTATGTGGGGAAGGGCCGTTCCCTCGGTGTGTTTTACACCCTTTCTAGTGAGGGACTGGAGTGGCAAACACTGGATTCCTTTCCTGGGGTTCAGAAGATGCAAAGAATTCCCATTGTGGGCTGCAGAAATTGGGTATGTGGGGTATTTGGAAGGATATCCCTAAAATAAGCTATGGAGGTGCCTACCCCTTCTGATATCCCAACTGTTGTCCTGGCATCAGTGGAGGAAAAGGGTTAGAAATCCCTCTTCTTCCTTCTTCACAAAGTAAAATACTGAGGCCCTGGTGCTGTAGAAACACAGCCCCTGTGATCCTGGGGGACAGATATGTCAAGGCTAAATATTCAAAGGTGTTCACAGGTGTAAAGTTTTCAGAAATGAGGACCTGTTTCCCCACAGGGGAGGTCCAGGCCTTTTACGAGGACCTGAATGGCCGTCAGTACGTGAACGAGGTGTTCAACTTCAGCGTGGACAAGCTCTACGACCTGCTCTTCACAGACTCCCAGTTCCAGAGGGACTTCATGGAGCAGCGCCGGTTCTCTGGTGAGCCCGTGCTCCCTGGGGAGCCTCCTGTGCTCCCTGGGGAACCTCCTGTGGTCCCTGCCAAGGCACAGGGCAGCAGGAAAATCTCTGCCTTGAAGGTGTCTCTTTGCCTGATGGAGGGGTTGGGTAACGTTCTGAGCAGATTTTGGGACAGTGCAGTCTGTGCTGTCAGTAATGAAAAGGAGGCAGAACCAGCCTTGCTTGCCCATCTAGTTTCATTTTCTAGCAGCAAAATTCATGGAACAAGCAGACCCTCTTATTTTTTTAGCATCAGCTAAGGCCTGACTCTGTGTTAAAGGCTTAGCAGTGTGAGGAGAAAGCTCTTCTGGCTCCACACCAGACACTGCACTTGATGGTGCAGAGAGTGTCCCTTGGCATGTTATGGTTCTCCTTTCCCTGTAACTGTAGGTTTGCTGAAGGAGATGTATTCCCAGCCTCTCCAACTTTCCCTGCACTTCAAAGAAGGAAAAATATTCCCATTTAGCTCAGGAGCCTTTTCTTTCACACTCTGCTGAGCTCTAGTGCTTCTGCAGCCAGGCTCTGCAAGGGCAAGGAAATACTGTCCCAACCTTGTTATGCCTTTCCCTAGCGAATGACCAGAGATCCCTCTCTGATAACTTAACTGGAATATTGTTTTGTCCCCTCAGATATTATCTTTAATCCCTGGAAGAAGGAAGAAAATGGCAATCAGACCAGAGTGATCCTGTATACCATTACCCTCACCAACCCTCTGGCCCCCAAAACTGCCACTGTCACAGAGACACAGGTATGTGAGGGGGAGCAGGGCTGTGCTGCTGTGTAGGAACTGATCTAGGAGTTATTTTCTTGCCTTGGCCTTGCTGCTGTGCATGTTCTCATTGTCCCTATCCCTTCCCTTCTACACATTTTCTTGTATTAACTTGCTGCCCAGTGTCACTGCAGGCATGATTAGCTGATCTTACACTGGATTGTGTTACCAGGAGAGGACCACGAGTTTTCCAGCAAAAGCAGATGAGTTTGTGAACAAACCAGCACATCTTAAAAAATGTGTTTGTCACCCATTCTGGTGTTTTTTGGGCTGTGGTCACTCCAGGAGATGTTATTCATGAGCAGGGCACAAGAAAGTCAGGTGCTGTCTGGCCAATCCTTCTCACAGCTCTGCAGGGAGATGTTTTTATTATGGGGAGGACAATGAGATATATTTATGAAGATATAAAAGGGGAAGGACCTGCAGTGCACTGGGAGGAGCCAGGCTGGCTGTATCTAATGGGAACTGCAGCTGGAGAGGGAGGAAAAACCTCTTTCCTTGTCCAGAGATATGTTCAAGTGGCCAAAAGTAAATACTGAGTGTTAGCTTAGTATTAGGGAATACTAAGAGGGAGCCTGGAAGGGATGTGTGAGCATTACATTTCAGGGACAGGGGAATCCCAGCAGCAAGGTGGAACCAGGGAGGATGGAAGGAGAATCCCAGCAGCAAGGTGTAACTGGGGAGGATGGGATGAAATGTGCTGTTCAGAAGCCAAGACTGTGCAGGGAAGAGAAAAGAAAGGAGACAGCAAAGTGATGGGCAAAGGGAACAGCACATTTTCAGAGAAAGGCATGGCCTATTTCATGCTGAATTTGGGGTCACCCACCAAGGCCCACCTTGCTGTGCCTTTGCTGCAGAGGTAGGTTGAAATGGCCTGTAAGAAAAACCATATTTTTGTATATGGATCTGCAGTTAACTGTGTCCCCTTCGTGAGGTTTGTTCTGGAGCAAAGGAAGAAGCAGATCAGAAGCACTTAAAAGAAGTAATTAACATGTTTTTATGGCGTTTAGAGTCACAGAGATGCTAGAGAAGCCTCTGCTCAAAGCAGGACCATGTCTGGCTGTGGCTCAGGTTGGTCCCTGACGAGCCAGGCATTAGAACAGAGGCCATACTTGCAAAGGTCCCAAAGAACTGCTCCTCATCTCTGTTACAAAACACTGGAGGTTGAGCTGCTGGAAAGTAAAGCCCTTTTGCAATACACCCTTGGGAAACATCTGGGTGAAACACTTGGTTTCCTGGAGTCTGCCTTCCCTTCAGGGTGAGCTGGGGCAGGGCCATGGGGGTGTGTGTTTGTGGTGGAGCTGTTTTGTGCCGGCGCCATCCATCAGAGCTGTGTTCTGAGCACACTAACAGTTGCCTTGCCTGCTGTTTTTTATACAGACAATGTACAAAGCCAGCCAGGAGAGCGAGTGCTATGTCATAGATGCAGAGGTGCTAACCCACGACGTCCCCTACCACGATTATTTCTACACCATTAACCGCTACACGTTGACTCGTGTGGCCAGAAACAAAAGCCGACTCAGGTATGCTTTTTGGAGGGGTTAAAACAGCTTTTCTGGTGACCAAAAAGTCACCTCGGGGTGGGAGTTTTGCTATTTGGTGTGTTAGAAGGGGTTGAGGGGGACTCTGTGGCTGGAACACTCCTGTCACAAAGAGTAGGGGCAGGTTCCTGCTGGGGTGACATGGAGCAAACATCAGACCCGATGCAGGGGAGTTCCAGCCGGGTCAGGGAGAGGATTTAAAGATTTCTCCTGCCCTTTCTTGGAAGCAGTGGTCTGCAGAGCCTGTTGTCATGTACAGTCAACTACCTGTGATAAGCAACAGGACATATTTCCAGAGATGCACCTGGGGGAGAAGCAGAGGAATTTGGTATCAGGCAGAGCTATAGGCTTTTCTGTGACTTTTTCTGTAGACTTTTTAAGTCTACTACTAAAACCCAGGTGTATCTGCTGGTTCTCTGCCTCTTGGGTGAGCTTCATGTGTTAGTGCTGCAGTGCAGCAGTACAGACTAAAGGAGCAATCCAGGTACAGAGGGGGTTTTCTGACTTAAGATCAGTCTTTCCTTAAGCTCCAACCACCTTTTAGTGAGGTGGGAAGAAGCTGGAACTTGTAGACTGAACTTAAGGTTCAATAAGTAGCCTAAATGTGTGCCTGCCACATGGTGTCCTTTTGGGAGAGGCTCTTCCTGCCTTTGGAAGGACTTCCCATGCAGTGCTTCTCCTTGAGAACACAAAGGGCTGGGACCATCCCAGAAATAACAGTGTGCAGGATTATTTCTCGTATTTACAGTGACAGAGATGGTGGGTTGATATTTCAGAACTTGGGAGAACGACCATCCTTTCTTCTCACAGGGTTTCCACGGAGTTACGTTACAGGAAACAGCCTTGGGGGCTGGTGAAATCCTTCATTGAGAAGAATTTCTGGAGTGGCCTGGAGGATTATTTCCGTCATTTGGGTGAGAGTGGCAGTGACTGTGGTAGTGACACACAGACAGTGGCACCTCCCGTGGTTGTGAAGCAGGGTAACACACATGTACCCCTGAAATGCCAGGCAGTGGAAAGAGTTCTGGAAAATTTATTCCCAAGTCGAGAACACTGGGCTTGCAAGGGAAAAAAACTTTCAGCAGTGCTGCAAAAAGCACAACCTCAGAAAGACAGGCCTCCTGTTCTCTTCAAGGCTTTTTATCTTTACTGGCCTCCCCCCAGGCCCTGTAGCCTGGATGAGTTTCTCTCTCCTCATCTCAGAGAGAGAATGACACTAAGAAGAAGTTTTAGTTTTAGTTGGATGTTAGGAAGAAGTTGGACATTGGGAGGGATCAGACATTGGAATGGGCTGCTCAGGGAGGAGGTGGAGTCACCATCCCTGGAGATGTTTAAGGCAAAAGGACAAAACATCCAAATTATTCATGAGAAAGGGGTTTCTTCTTAGCCAGGAAAGGCTTCCTAAGCGAAACAAGCCCTCATCTCCTCCTTACAAATCTTCCAGAAGGGTATCTACACTTAGAGTGGTTTAGGCACGGCATGGCAGCCTGGGGAGCCCACCTTAGAGTGGCTTATAAAAGGGGCCACCACAGCTGGGAGTCCTGCTCTCTGCCAGGCAGTCTGGGCTCAGGGGTTGGCAGGAGGTGGAAGGAGTGTGTCTCTGAGGTGGTTTGAAGCTGGCTCCCTGCCAAGTCTCCAAACCTCACCACAAGAGCTCCCCCCCCAAAGCAAGGGAGAAGAGGAAAAAAACCCAAGAGAACCAAAACGAGAGGCAGCTAAAGCAATATATATAAATATATTTACACTTAAATTACATTTACATACAATTGAAATATATGTACAATTTCAAAAGGGAAGGGGGAAGGAAAAAAAGAGGAACAAAACCAAAATAAAATATACATGATCAATAGCCCAAGATCTAGCAACTCTCCTTGGGACAGCAGAAAGTCGTGCTGGAACAACTGCCGGCAACCTCCGTCTCCCAAGGTCGGCAAGGCCTCACTAGGCCTTACCAGGCCTCACTAGGCCTCACTAGGCCTCAATCCCCAACACGACAGACTCAACAGCAGGGAAACCCACACCTCAAAGCCGCTGGAAGGACAGAGGGGCAAAGGCCTCTTGTCCTTTCTTCTTATACCCCGGCTTACGTAAAAATCGTAGGAGATACCGGATAGTCTGGCCACTTCCTTGGTTACAAACTGGTCACCAGGGAAGGCCCAGACTAAACTACCACAGTCTCTCAGCCCCTGCCAACTTCTTTGCGCCGTTAGAGGCCTTAAATCCCTGAAACATCTCCGGAACATCTCTGAGTGCCACATCCCTGAAATGTTCCCCTCCCTCCCACACAGAGAGCGAGCTGGCCAAGACGGAGAGCACGTACCTGGCCGAGGTGCACAGACAATCCCCCAAGGAGAAGGTGAGCAAGCAATCCACGGTGCGGCGCCGGAAACGCGCCCACGCCCACCTGCGGGTGCCACACCTGGAGGAGGTGCTGAGCCCCGTCACCACCCCCACCGACGAGGAGGTGGCACACCGCAGCAAGCACGTGGCAGGTGAGGGAGAGAAAAGGCACCTCTGCTTGCCCTGCTCCGGGAGAATTGGTTTCCAGGGCAGGGAGGGGGTGTTGTGGTTGTTTGGGCGGGGAGGGTTGATTCCAGAGAAGGGATGGAGCACAAGTCCTGTGAGGAGCAGCTGGGGGAGCTCATCCTGGAGAGGCTCAGGGGTGAGCTTCTCACTGACCACAACTCCCTGACAGGAGGGTGTAGCCAGGTGGGGGTCAGGCTCTTCTCCCAGCAGTAGGGCATGAGGGCTCGGTCTTCAGCTGCACCAGGGGAGGTTTAAGGTTGGACATTAGGAAGAAGTTTTTTGTTTAGTTGGACATTGGGAAGAAGTTGGACATTGGGAAGGATCAGACATTGGAATGGGCTGCCCAGGGAGGGAGTGGAGTCACCATCCCTGGAGGTGTTAAAGAGCAGACTGGATGTGGCATCAGTGCCATGGTCTGGGTGACAGGGTGGTGTTGGGTCACAGGTTGGACTCGATGATCTCAGGGGATTTTTCCAACCTGGTTGATTCTGTGAGAGGGACAAGGGACAGCATTCCCTGTCCTAAATGCATCCATCTCCTCAGGTTCCACTCAGACACGGCACATCCCCGAGGAAAGCCCCAGTGGCTTCCACCTGCAGAGTGTCTCCAAGCTGCTCCTTGTCATCAGTTTTGTGTAAGTGATGGTTTTTGCTTTCCTTCACAGTCAGCCTTGAACAGCTTTGGTTTGTCTGCATTTCTGGTGTTCTATGCTCCCTTCTTTCTGCTCAGGTTTACCCTTTTTTTTTAACCAAACGTGGGCTTTGTAGACCTGCACGTTTTTGGGAGTCCTAAATGCAGGTCTGGGATGTGTTTGGGACAGTGATGATTGCAAGCAGGGCAGCTGTGCAAGGAGAGGGGCATCACTACCTGAAAGAGAAGAAACACAAAAAGAGAGAAAAAAAAAAAAAAAGAGAAAAGTAGATAGAGTCTTTTTTATTTCAGGGACTCAGTTTAGAGATTTTCAATGACATCTATAAACTGTGGGGTGTTTTAAATTTAAAATAAGTCTTTTAATGTATTCTGCTCACAAATCAGCTGTTATCAAGAACAATGACCAGGCAAAGCTCTGTGGGAACCATTGTCTGTCACAAAAAGGTTTAGATTCTGTGGGGAAATTCTAGTCTGGCAAAACCTAGTCCTGGGTGGTGATTTGGGTAAGAGATACCATCCCAAAAAGAAGCTGGACCCTTTAGAGATGATTTCTTCAAAATAAGGATAGAAACATGTGAAGCACAAGAGGTTGATTTTCCTAGTTCAGCAGCAAGAACTGTGTTTGGTTTGGGGTGTCTTTTTTGCCACACCTTTCCCAGTTACTAGTCTTGGACTTGAATATGGGCTCCAAGTGGGCTCAGTATCCCTGTATCCCTGTGGCTCAGTCTAATACTTGAACTCAGGTGTGTCTGCTGATTCTCTGCCTCTTGGGTGAGCTTCATGTGTTAGTGCTGCAGTGCAGACTAAAGGAGCAACCCAGGTACAGAGGGGGTTTTTTCTGCCTTGGGCTCAGTCTTTCCTTGAGCTCCAGACACCTTTCAGTGAGGTGGGAAGAAGCTGGAATTTGTAGACTGAACTTACAGTTCAAATTGAGCTCCTTTCTGTGTTTCCTTTTCCCAGTGAGGGCACTGATTTGCAGCAGCAACCCAGCCAGTTGCTGGGAAGGTGATGTCAAGTCCTGTCCTGATAAGAAAACAGTAGAAAGGTACAAAAAAGCTTTATGAAAATCTGTCCTGGCAGACTGTGAGCTTCACTTAGGTCAGAGAGCCCTGATAATGATTTCAGAACACTCCTCTGGCCAGTTGCCCTCCTCCTGACCGAGCTGGTGATAGTGGGCCATTCTTCCAGCAGAACAGCTGCTCTGTTCAGAGACAGGCACCAGCCTGGTATTTTTGGAATGTGCTCCCCAGGAGGAGAGGAAATGCCCGTGTGTGGTGGTGGTGGTGGGTGAGAGGAGCAGTGCAGGGTCTGGCTGTGGGGGTGTTCCCAGTGCCAGCAGTGCTGGGAGGGGGTGAGGCTGGCTGTGTGCAGGCTGGCTGTGTGTCACACGGTGCCCTCGTGGGCACACTTGGGGCTCGTCCCCCAGAGCCACAGCTCAGCTTTGCTGGGTGAATTGCACCAGGAACGCAGGCACAGGGGTATTTGTCTGTCCTTCCTGCCTCTCTTCCCGCTGTTCCTTTCTCCTCCCCTGGCCCCCCTGTACCTCCTGCACTGTCTCTGAGCCTCCTCTCTCAGCCCAGTTTCTCCTGGTCTGTGTCAGTTCGTTTCTAACCTGCAGCTGCTCCGTCTTTTCTCTTCCCTGCTCCCATTAGGATCTGTTTCAGGTACTGTCTCTCTCTTTTTTTACCTCTTTACTCTCCCATTTCCCTCTCTTTCTCTGCATTCAGCACATCCACCCATCCAACCTGTTCTGGCTGACCCCTCATCCCTGTCTTTCTGTCTCTCTGTCCTCCTTGCTCACACATTTCTTCCACGAGGTGCAGTTTTGGGTTCTGACCACCTGGTCCTTACTCAGATTTAAGTTCCCACTCACATCCAGCGTGGACCTGGGCCTCAGACACCAGGTGTGCCTGGCAATGGGCTGTGAAGTGCTCCTGCTAAACTGACTGTTCTCCTTCTTTCCAGTCTGGTGCTGCTGGTCATTCTCAATATGATGCTGTTCTACAAACTCTGGATGTTGGAATATACTACACAGACCCTCACAGCGTGGCAGGGCTTGAGGCTGCAGGAGAGGTATTATTAGAGAATTATTATTTTCCCCAAAATAACCCTGCTACTTTCCCATGGATAGATACTTCAGGTGATTTTAGATACTTTAAGTGATTTTATCTTTCTCTACTACTCTTGGTGTTTGTTTAGACTACTACAATATAGTATTTAAGTACAGAACTTATATCCTATAATGTGCATGTTCTGGAATTACATGGGTACATCTTTCCCTGCCCCCCACGGGGAAGTTTTGTGATGCATCCATGATTTTTGTGGAAGTATCTGAACCTGTCCAAGCCCCTTGAGTGCTTCCATCTGTCCTGATTCCTCTCCCCTCAGCAGCCTCTCACCCTGTTCTGGGGGGTTAATTGGGCCTGAAGGAAGAGAGAGAGCCATGGGAAAGAGAGCCAGTGCAGCTTTAATTCAGAATAAAGAGAAAGTCCTGAAGAAATTACAGGGGATGAATAAAGACTAACAGAGCACGTCTAGAAAAAGCAAACCACGGAATCCAATTGATGAAAATTCCGAGCTGCTTAAATGCACTTTTTTTCAAGAAAACGTGTCCCTTTGGGGTGAAAAGCTTAGCCAGAAGCTGATTACACCCACTGCAGTTTGCCCAGGGTGACTCTTGCCCGTGTTGTTGCTGCCAGGTTGCCCCAGTCTCAGACAGAGTGGGCCCAGTTACTGGAGTCCCAGCAGAAGTACCACGACTCGGAGCTGCAGAAGTGGCGGGAGATCATCAAATCCTCCGTGATGCTGCTGGACCAGGTGAGACCCCACGGCCAGGTAGGGCTGTGACCTGAATCATAGAATCATGGAATCAGCTGGGTTGGAAGGGACCTCCCAGATCATCAAGTCCAACCCTTGATCCAACCCCGCCGTGGTTCCCAGCCCATGGCACTGATGCCACATCAGTCTCACCTTAAACACCTCCAGGGATGGAGAATCCACCCCTTCCCTGGGCAGCCCGTTCCAATGGCTGAGCACCCTCTCTGGAAAGAAATTCTTTCTCATATCCAACCTAAACCTCCCCTGGCACAGCTGAAGACCGAGCCCTCTTGTCTTGCTGATGGTTGCCTGGGAAAAGAGACCAACCCCCACCTGGCTCCCCCTTCCTGTCAGGGAGTTGCAGAGAGTGAGGAGGTCTCCCCTGAGCCTCCTCTTCTCCAGGCTGAACAGCCCCAGCTCCCTCAGCCTCTCCTCATAGGACTTGTGCTCCAGTCCCTTCCCCAGCCTTGTTGCTCTTCTCTGGACCTGCTCCAGGACCTCTGTCCTCCCACCCCCTGCTCCCAACCCTGCAGCATTCCCTGGCTCCACTGTGGTCCCTCAGGTGTGTCACCTCCGCCGGTGTCTCCCTCAGACCCATCTTCTCCCCTCGTGGTGGGCAGCAGGTCCCAGGGGCTGTCACAGGGTGTCAGGGGGCCTCTCTGTCACATGAGGAGGAGAGAATTCTACAGGGCCAAAAAATCTTACATTGGCACATTTTGAATCTAGTCTGTGGCATCCCAGTTTGGGAGAAAGACTGTTTTTTACCTCAGCTCTGGATTCACACGTAGGTTTCGTGGATGAAGGGAACACCCTCTGCATGGGCCCTTCACAGCACAAAGTTTCAGCATCCACTGCCTAAAGAGCCTTTTGTACTGAGAAAATAGTCCATAAATCAGAGCTGCTCCTCCTGAACCTCATTCTCTCACCCCTTCTCTTGGAGAAAGGTGCCTCATAGTCTCCCACCTTCTCAGTCCCTGTTTGTACCTCCCAACCCTGCTCCCAAAATTGAATCTGGTGTGGACACTTTAGAGGGAAAAGAAGGAAATCCCGAAGCTCTCACCTCCCAGGGTTGCATCACAGTGGGGAAATCTCTTGTCTTGCAGATGAAGGATTCCCTAATAAACCTTCAGAATGGCATCGGGTCCCGGGACTTCGGGTCAGATCCAGAGGAGAAACGGAAACGTTTCCACTGACAGGCAGGAATGCAGGAGGCCAGAGGATGGTGTGCAATATGTGTAAATAGGATATATAAATATATATATAAATATATATATATATATACAGAATATAAATATATATATTATATACAGATTTTAAGAGAAAAAAAAAAACCACAAAACAAAGCCTATGTATCGAGGGGAAGGGTTTTGACCTCCAACACTGGCTGAACTGGAGTGTCTCTGGTAGTGGGGGGGTGTGTGTGTGTGTGGGAGGGCTGTGCTCTCCCAGCACTGAGCTGTGCTTAGGGCCGAGCCCAGGGGTGCTCCCTGGGCCCTGCACTGCTCCTCTGTAATATTGCTGGCTGTTTGTCTGTCTGTCTGTCTGTTTAGTTTTTGTTGTTCCAAAGGGAAGCATCAGCGTGAGTGCCCCCCCCTCCCCAGCCCCCTCCCCGCGCATGAGGGTCCCTGGTTGACTGTATTTATCTCTGCATAAAAAGGGGACACTGTCAACTTCCTGACCTTGCTGGCTTCAGGGCAGAGAGGGTTTGGCCATGGCAGTCAACCCCTTGTAGAACTGTCCCACGTTTGGAGAGGAGGCCTCGGGGAGAATTGCTGTAGGTCTGCAGAGAGCAGGTCTCCCTGGCAGTCACCTCCTGCAGAAGCACAGTTGGCTGTCACAGGGGCCAGCCTGGTTCAGAGGGCAAAGCCCAGGATTGAAAGGAGCTGAAATCCTGTCCACAAGCACCAATTTGCTGTTGGTGCAGCAGGAAGAGGTGAGGAGAGGGTGGGGAGGGGAGAACGTGCCCCCAAGGTGTGTGGGTGGAGCAGGGCCACCCCTGTGACAGTGTCCCCTTTACCTTGGCTGTGGTTCTCTGCTTTCCATGTGCTTGGGCCCCTGCCATAAAGCCATCCCTGTGCTGAAAATCTACATCTATGCTTAACAGGCAACTCCCCACAAGGGTGGGAGTACCCCAACTGAAAAACAAACCCCAAATTGGGATTTATGTGCAGCCACTGCCCAGCTCAGCAAATCTCTCTCCTGCCACTGGTCTACAAGACCATTTTGTTCATGTCTTGTCTTATAAAATCTGTGGGAAAACATTAGTGAGAAAAATAACTTGATTCCCTTCCCTGGGATAAATTTACACATTTGTGGCTATGCAGCAGCAGCCACCACTGTGGATATCTGTGATTGCATCTGTGTTCACCAAGGCTTCCAAAAACCCAGGAGAGGCCAGGAAGTGTCACAGGGACCAAAAAAAAAAAAAGGAGAAAAGAGAAAAGGGACCATCAGTGGGTGGCAGGACAGAGCTTGGGGATGTCCATGGTGTGAGGCATCTGAAGGTTTCTCTCATAAGCATTTGCTCTGTGAGTCAGTCAGGGGGTAGAGCTGCACTGAAAAGCCAATATGTATTTGTAGTTGTTCCGGGGGATAATTTCAGACTCTCCTGAGCAGCCCCATGAGGAAGAGGGGCAGTGGGGCTGCCCTGTGCAGAGTCCCAAGCCCCACAGAGATTGGTTGAGCTGGAGGCTGCTTGTGTGAATGTTTAATAAATGCTTTTTCATCTTGCCCAGCCAGGCAGATTAGGTGACATGTGAGGCCCTCCATCTCCACCCTGACCAACAGCAGGATTTTTCCCACCTTCTGAGTGGCAGCTGCAAGTTCCCAGTGTGGAAATGGTGCCAGCTGTAGCTCCTCTGTTGTCTCCAGTGGGCACTGAAAGGGCAGGGAGCACAAGGGTGAGTCATTGTCTCATGTAAACTCTCATCCTCAGAACTGGGTGACAAAGTGGCTTCTAAAACCCTCTCAAGCTCCCAGTTTCCATTTAGGGAAAGGTAATATATGTAGGAGTGACCAACCTGCTGCTTTCTCCCAACCTGCCTCCAATTTCCATGACCAAGTGCTAAACACAACGTGTCCCACAGCAGACTCACATGGGAAGGAGTGTGGATGAAGACAGGTTATCAAAAAGACATTTAAGACTGTGAAAGCAAGGTACAATTGGGGAAAAACAAGAGAGTAACGTGTATTTATGACTATTTATTTAATTTAATGCTGCTGACTACTGTACTGCTCCCTGACTTTTTGCCAGGGAGGCTGCTGAAATGGCTGCTCTACAATGACACTGAGGTGCTAGTGCCTGGGAAGGGCATTCTGTGGCTCATCTTGGGACAGGAGGGCCCTGACTCCCCACTGTGACTTGCCAGACTGTCCCAGAGTCTTGTTTCCCCCATGACTCACTCCCACAATTGCTAAGCACAGAAAATTCCCCTGCTGCCCATCTCCCCCCTTTTTCTAGACTTTAATTTCAAGCACCAGGCAAGAGGACAGAGAGGAGGCCCTGTGGTTCACCTTGCCCATGCCAGGAAAGAAAAAGGAACATCATGGCAAATACAGCTGGGATGTTGGGGTCTCTTCCACCTGGCTGGGAGGGGTTTGTCCTTAGATGGATTTGATCAGTCAGGAGGCAGAGAAACCCTCCTGTCCCAGGGGGTCATGAGCAAGTGCTGCTGGTCAGGGTTGGTTTCTCACCAGTTTCACATTCTCTTTATAGTTAGGGAGGCAAGAAATCATTTCCTCATCAGTGCATCCTTCCTCTGCAGCATCCTTCCAGCTTTAGCCATGGCTTTAAGCTTGGGATGTTCCCTCTGACTCCCTCCTTCCCTCTCTCCCTCCCTCAGGCTGGGCCCCAGGGACAGCCTTGCACAAGCTCTGTTAAATTAATGTGAGGCTGCACTGGCAGCTGTAACAATCTCAAGCACTAATATTTATTCTACCTGCACATCAGACTGGGTTTTCAACATCTGACATCTCTCCTGACACACAGCAACCAGAACCTTGTACCTGCAGCATCCTTCAGGCAGGGGGAGGTTTGTCTTGAAGGCTTTAGGGTTGTTTTTCTCAAGATTTCTAGTAACTCACTTTCTTTTTTCCACTGGGCTTGGAGTTGGATAGGATCCTTGATCTTTTATTGCCTCTTAATTTATCACAGTAATAATAAAAAAGGGTAAAAGCAAGGTCTTTTTCTCAAGGCAAAACCCACAATGGCACTAAAGGTGAGGGCTTAAACAAAACCTGGGGGTATTTTTCACTTAGATGCCTTCGTGTAGAAAGCTGTGATAGGAATCACCTGCTCCTGATCAGTCCCAGCTGACAGGTTAATTCCTTCTGGAGCCACAGGCAGTTTGGGACCATGATTGTATTTCCTGGAGAAATCAGCAATGCTTTTTAGGAGTGAGGTTGAGCAACCTGAATAATGTTCCAGGGGGTGGTACTTCCCTCAGCATCACAGCCAAGTCATAGCTTGGCTTCCACTGTCAGGGTTTTGCTGAAATATTTGCTAGAAATCCCACATTATTTTCGTGGCAGACACATTTCCCTGCCCAGACCTCCCTCTGACCTTCCCACCCTGCACATCTGCCAGGTGAGCACAGCTGGGGTTTGATCTGCAGGATAGGAACAATAAAAAAACCCCAGGGGTTTTTAAAAAGGCATTTCTCCAGCCAGGCATGCAAACTAATGCCAGCAGGTAGGAGCCCAATTCCTGCCAAGTGAGATGCTCCCTTGTGGGAGGAGGGAGAAGGGGGAGCAGGAGGCTTCAATCTGCCAGTTTGGGTATCTGTTTTTATGGGAGAAGGGACATAACTCACTAATCCTGGCTTGATACAACCTCACCTCTGATGAACACACACCTAATGCTTACCTTGAGGGAGCTGTTGGGGTTATGGCATCTGGGATGAGCTCAGGCTGGATTTGAGGCCTGGATAACTGCTGTGCCATCAGGCATTCCTACAGTAGATACCAAATGTATCTAGTGCAGCACCTGTGTCTGGGGAGGACCAAAAGACAGGTTATTCCAGGTGTAAGATGCCCAGGACAGGGGCAGTGCTGGGGCTGCACGTTCCACTTAGGAGAGAAGAGGGTACCTGCAGTGGTAAGGAGAGGAGTGAGCTGTGGATTAACAGCATAACCATGTTTTTGGGTGCTCTGCAGTTAGCTGATAACCCCAGGTACGCTTCAGTCACAAAACTTAGATATTAATTGATATTAACATACACCAACTTCTGCATAAATCCTTTCTGGCTCCCTCAAGTCCTTTGGGAGAAGAGGAAAAAAGGAAATCACGGGGCTTTGATCTCCTCTAACACACCTGAACTGCTGCTGACAGAGCCTGCATTTACACACAGCTCAGGCTGTGTCTCTCTGCTGGGTGACACCTGAGCCCTCTTGTCTGCTTTAGATCTAATAAAGACAAACCTTAGAGATGTGCAACATGCCTTTAGTGGAACATGAGCCTGTATTAAAAGTGGAAGGGTTTCAAAGCACAAAGCTTTGCTGGATTTGAAGCCCTGGCACAAAACTGGCTCTGAAATAATGATGCCTTGTATTGGCATATCCCCTCTAGGAGAGCTGGAATGCTGATTTGGGAATGCTGACCTGTGTTCTTATCAGACAGACCCTGTTCAGCAGCTCATCTGGGTGTAGATGGGGACAGACTTTTCAGCCTACTTGCCTCCTCAGCACTGTCCATGTGTCCTACATAAGAAACTTTTTCTTACCTTTATACAAGAAGGTAGAAATTTCTTTTCCAGGTAGTGACTGGAGACACTTTTGGTCTGGGTACTTGCTCAAGACCTTTTGGATTTGCTGCACTAACTAACTGTTCTAACCAGGAGCACTCTCTCAGTCAGTGTCTGCTTTTCCCAGTGAGGACAGAAACAAACCACTTCCTAATTCAGAGGTGGAACTTTCTGCTTCCACAGCATGCAGAAAAAATCAGTCTGAAAATTGCTGTTCGAAGGAACAGTACCTGGCTCAGGGGGAAGCAATTCCATCCTGTTTTCCCAGCCAGCTCCTGTCATCCCACAGCTCTTGACAGATCCTTGCTCAACTCCAGGAGATCTCCTGGTGGGATCCCTGCCAGGGTTGCTGCCATGGACACGTTTCATGGCACAGTCACGTGGACTCTCTGACTTAGTCTTTTCAGCCAGTCTCAGCTCTAGTTAAAACTCCTGGCAGGGGCTTGCTCAACACAAAACTCAAAGCAGAGACTCTCAAACCAAAGCCCCCGAGGTGAGTGGCTCACAGAGCAGGTGTCTCAGTGTGGTTCCTGTGCTGATGTCCCAGCCCGTCTCCCCCCGGACACGCTCTGCTCTCTGTGCTTCTCCGTCTCCACAGCACGAGTCTCTCTGTGCCATAATACCTTCCTTTTTCTAGATGTGCACACTGGCCAAATAATCTCCTCGTGTCTTGATGGACTGCTGGTTGAGGCCATTCCCTGATCTAGGCAGACAGCATGGGCTTATCCCTTAGCATGGGTACGTGGTGTGCCATGCCCTCCTCTCCCACGTTTTGCAGTGCTTGCTATGGCTTTTCCCTCTCCCCTCAAACCTCTGCTGCTGGACAATCATTCCCTGTGTCATAGATGGACTGACCTGGTGCTGTCCCTGCCTGCCTTTCCCTCCTGCAGTCTGTATGCTCTTTAAGTGAATGTGTTTTACTTTTTTTTTTTTTTTCAGTAGGGAAAAGGACTTCCTTCTGCTGAAGGAATTATATTTGCACATGGCTCAGGGAGGTTCCTCCTCTGGCCGTTTCTGTTACCTCACTCATTTAGGCCAATTCCATTGCTAACGTTAAAGGCCACCTTCCCCATCCCAGACTCCCAGAATAGTTAGGGAATAAAACCAATGTGCAGCTCAGGTTCTAGAGCCGCGTGGTCACGTCTCCATTTCGGAATCGGGATTTGGGAGAGTGACTGTTACAAAACAGCAGCTTTCTCCAGCAGGGAGAGGGGTGGAGCCTGTGCCACAGGCATCATTCCCGTCTCCACGAGCCCACCTCCCGTGGAATAGCACTTACAGAGCAGAGATGGAAGCACTGACCTGGCTCTGGACACGGAGGGAGGGAGGAGCAGCAGAGCAGCTGGCTGTGGCACCTCTGGGACGTCACCATTCCCGTGGCAGTTCATCTCCCATCACGTGCTCCAGGCCTGGATAAAGCTGCTAAAAACCTGGAGCGTGTCCTCCCCACCCGGACCCCGCGCCCCTGAATCGCTGTAACTGCAGACTAACGAGGGACTGGGTCCTGCACTTCCCTCCTGGAATTCGCCACCAGAGCCCGGGAACAGGGGGGGCTGGAGCACTGAGGTGAACTGTGGGGTGGGGGAAGGCCCCCAGTGGGTTGGTTTTAGGCGTCGTGTGACTGTCGGGACCTTTGCGCTGTGCGCAAACCGCGGTGAAACGCTGCTGGAATGACCTGCTAGGACCTCTAGGAACTGTAAAG